GGCTGCCGGGGGTTGGGCTGAGCTGAGGCTGCGGCTTGCCTGGCTTTTTCTCCTTATCTGTGCTGCGAGGGGGTGCATGACTCCCGGCTCTACTCCCGCTAGGGCGGGTGTGTACAGCTCCCTGGCTCTGGTCCGGCCTCGCAGGGAGAGAAGGCGCACAGCTCCTGGCCCTCCCTGCACCCCGCAAGTGTGGAGGCCTCGTGGCTCAAGCCCCCCACCCCGTGAGAGAGGAGGCCACATGGCTCTGGCCCACATGAAAGCCAGGGAGAGCAGGAGGAGATAGGGCAGCTGAGGGCCGAGGAAGGGCTGAGGGATGCAGAGTGCCGTGATGTCACACTGTCATCCCATAGGAATTTTTTAAAAATATATTTAGAGAGAGATCAGGAAAGGGATAGCCTACATTGTGAACACTGTGTCCAGATCTGGTTCCTCCATTTAAAAAAAAGTTAGAATTGGGAAAAAATACAGAAAAAGGCAACAAAAATGATTAGTAGTACAGAATAACTTCTGTATGAGGTGAGTTTAAAGACTGTAACTTTTCAGCTTGGAAAAGAGACAACTAAAAGAAGATATGGTAGAGATTTATTAAATCTTGACAGATGTGAAGAAAGTGAATAAAAGCAATTATATTTACTCCTTCACAGAACACAAGAAGTAGGGGAAATCAATGGCAGGCAAGCTTAAAACAAACAAAAGTAAGGTATTTTTCACAAAATTCAGTCAATCTGTGGAACTCATTGACGGTATGTGACGGCCAAAAAAAAAAGAGAGTTCAAAAAAGGACTAAGTAAATTCATGGAGGGTAGACCTATCGATGGATATTAGCCAGGATGACCAGGAATGCAACACCATGTTCTAAGTGTCTTTAGCTTCTGTTTTCCAGAAGCATAGACAACAGGGAATGGATCACTCAGGCTATGTCTAGACTTCCGAGTTTTTCCAGAAAAACTCTGCCACATCGAGGGAACACGTCTACTCTTCTTCCTTTTTTTTTTTTTTTTTTAAATGGAAGAGCAAACGCGCTCTTTCAGAAGCCCGGTCTTCCTCATTCCACGAAAAAGAAGGGCTCTTCCAAAAGAGGCTTTTTTCTCCCAAAATTTGGCCCAGTGTAGATGGGCCAAATTTCAGAAAAGCCTCTTCCAACAAAACTATCGGAAAAAAGTACACAAATAGTGGAGAGCAATTTGTGTACCTTTTTCCGATAAAACTTTGTAGTGTAGACGTAGCCTCTAAGATAGCTAGTTCTGTTCATTTCCTCTGACGACGCACCTGGAATTGGTCACTGTCAGAAGAAAGAATACTGGGCTCAGTGAGCCATTGGTCTGACCCAGTATGTCTGTTTTTATGGTAACTGCTACATCCCTAACACACTCAGCCATAGCAGAATATTTTGAAATTGTAAACATCATATTAGGGTCTGCTCTGCCATACCTGTGAAAAAGTTAATTGGCTTTAGCAGAATCACAGACACTTTCAGTTACGTTAATTTTTGACCAGTGTGTGCTGGAGTGCCTAATCACAGTGGGCTGATGGTATATTTGATAGTGTAGGGACTCTACAGTAGAGAGAAGGGCCAGGTTTATATATTCCGTGAGTCTATACAGAATCTATATATGGGTCTATATAGTTTTTTCAAATATATAGATTTAGTGTAAAGCAAAAATGTGACTTTGATACTAATCTTCGGCAGAAATAGTGACAGAACTACAAATCTATCACTTGATATAAATGTAAGAAAGCTGAGAGATAATTTGGGTATATTTAAAGTAATTAATTTAATAAATAATTTCTTCAGTTCAAATTGTCTGATTTCCCCCACGTTCTCTGGGTTTTGTCTTAGTTTCCTTTGTACACTGTAATTATTCATAAGGATTTTTAAACTATAGTGATTTTTAATGTGGTCATAGCCATTTGTTATGAATGTGCTGTTCCTGGAAATGTGTAGATAATGACAATTCAAATAGCTCTTGCTAACAGTGCTGTATATTAATATTTGCAGATCATGAAAACATTTTTTGAAGGGAGATACATAATTTTATTGATGGGTCTGTTTTCTGTATACACCGGCTTGATTTATAATGACTGTTTTTCAAAGTCATTAAATATATTTGGTTCTGGATGGAACATTTTGGCAATGTTTGAACAAAGAATCTGGCAGTGAGTAGTATGCTATGTTTATTATACCTTTAAAACAACTGTACAATTTTTAGAAAAGTCATTGGGATCATTTCAGTATTTTATATATCATTCAAGTTGATGACTTTCCTGGAAAATGTTTTCTGACCATTCCCACCTCTTTGTTTAGTTGCAAAATTTATGTAACTGCTGAGACACTGGTCTCTTACCCTTCAAAAGAAATACATTAGGAGTTGCTGGAATGGCACCTGTGGGTGGAGGCAGTATGCGGAGCTGACTGGCTCTGCCTGCACCTAGAAGCTGAGGAGGGACATGGCACCTCCTGGGAACTTCCCTTAGTAAACATCACCCATAGACCTTAACCCACTCCACATCCAAACTCTTGCTGCTGCAGGGAAAGAAAGATTCAGTGACCCAAGATTACCCCATCAGCAGCTGGCCCAGAGGCTATCTGAGTTGCTCAGATGGCCCCATGGTCAGCCAGAGTGGCTACTGCAGAAATCACAGAGTTCACCAAATTCACAGAATCCATGAATCCATAATAAACTAGCACCCTTAATCATAAAATCTTGTTGCTATGTGATATCTTTTTGGAGGGTTATGTGAAATTAAATGGGTAGCTTCAGCCAAATTTCTTGGCCATATTTAGCCATATTAAACAAATCAATCACAACCTGCTGCTTTGTTGTCAGTTTGAACAGAGGCCAAGAACTGAATGGTTATGGAACTACATATGTGTCACCTATGGTGGTGTCCTTTCTGGACCTCACTGACCTACATTGTATTGGGAAGCATATGCTGATACTGCACATATTATCCTGACCTGTGGATAAGTAGTAAAGCATTTTCCAGCAATTCCAGCAACTATTATCTGTATTTGATTTACCTGAAAACAGTTTAAGGGATAGCCATCTCAAAGAACATCAGTTACTACCAGGTGCTTCTTTTCAGGGAGGTGGTATTACTGTACTGATGGAAAAAAGTCTTGTCTGCATATCATGTGTTTGCTCTATCTATCATCTATCTACCAGTGTTTATCACCAAAGCATGAATAATGTAGACAAGCCCCTATTCACTTGCTGCCATCGTATGACCCCTGGACTAAAAGAGAAACTAGTCAAAGGAGACTGAACCTGTGATTCCCTTAAAGGTTAAGCTTACTTGTTTATTTGACAAGTTGTGCAGATCTAGAATGCTTTAAATTTTGTTGAAATGCATCCTTACACAAACGCACAATTAATAAGCAAATCACACATTCCCTGCATGTTATTTTGTTTTGGTAATGAGTTAGCCTTTAACATCACATATGTAGTAGCCCAATCTCTGTGACACTGAAATGCTGGCTATTCCCTCTGGGCGGTGCTGTTGTCTTCCACCATGGCACTCAGCTGCGCCACTCAGCCGGGCTGCCGCAGGGGAGCAAGCGGCACAAGCATGGGCCGCCCAAAGGGAACAGCCCGCATTTCAGCATTACAAACTCTTAGACACTGGGCTACTATATATATGATTATTTTGTTTAGAAATTCCTTTATGCTTCCCTCAACCTTCAGATCAGCCATTTTTTTTTCTCTCTGCTAAATAAGAAAGTAGGAAGGACATTCTGCAGAGGTGAAAGCAATACATGCTTACTGGTTTTAAGCAAAAGGATCTGATTGTGTGTTGGTTTGTTTGTTTTTTGGCCATAGTCTTGATGATTTGAAGTCTAATCGATATTTGTCATTGGATCCAAATATTACTGGAGTGTTCAGTGGAATTTATCCTCTTGGAATAGATCCGGTTGGTGCCTTTTCTTTAAATGTACCCATTTGTGGTGATCATTGCTTTACAGCTCATTAGTTAAGTGTGACAACTGCTTAGTATACTGGCAAAATATAAGTTTATACATTGTGGGTAAATGCATTTTCCACTAGGGATGCTACTGTGTAGTCATTTACATGATTAACTGATGACACTGAGTTTATTGCTTAATTATAATGACTACACACCCCTCCCCTTACTGCTTCTGTATTAGAGGCAGCATGGACTGGGCAGAGGCGGGGTCCAGATGCCCGGGGGGAGCTGGCTAGGGATGTTAAATATCAGTTAATTGAATAGTTGAGTAACCTCATGAATTCTTATCAGTTATTCAACTATTCTATAGTCCCTGGGGGTAGGAGCGGCAGCCAATGCACTCCAGCCCCACTCTCAAGGAACCCCCTGCCACCTCGCGTTGCTGCTTCTGTATCAGAGGCAACAGTGCAAGGTGTCAGGTGGGAGCTGGCCCGTGAAGGGAAACAGTTTAAAAAAACAGCTTCCCTCGTGAACCAGCTACCTTTTGCCCTGTGCTGCTGCCTCTGATACAGCAGCAGCGCCTGTCTGGGGGGTGGGTCTGAGCTCCTGGACCTGGTGCAAGCTGGAACTGAGCCAGGGTGCCTCCCTGCCTAGCTCCTAATACACTTTAAATGCAGAGATGCAGTGGGAGTAAGTCCTGGACCAAGCGTGAGCCAGAACTGAGCCAGGCTGCTCGCTAGCCTGCTAAAGAATTTAGTGGTAAGGTAGGGGAGGAAAAGGCGTGTAGTCTATAGCATTAACCTATAAGTTTTTGCTAATCGGTTAATCTACTACACTATTACATCCCTAGAACTGGCTTCTCCAGAGCTGCATATCATCTCTCCCCCATGCACAGCTGCCTCTGATAAAGAGGCAGCAGTGCAGGGGGTAGGGCTGG